CATGCTCCAGGGGAGCGTGCCTATGCCCACCACCCTTCCTGCTGTCAGGCCCGGAGGTCTGCACAGGCGGTGAGGCTGGACCCAGGGTCTTTCTAGTCTTCAGCTGCTGGCCCTCTCTGCCTTTAGGAGGCAGGAATAGGATACAAGATAACTTTCTGAACTCGGATAATGATGGCTCACTATTGGGCACTTGCTCTGTGCTCCAAATGCTTTGCCGGAACCATCTCAGCATCCTTAAGGGGAATGCGTTCGGATCAGGGTGAAAACCAAGACACAGTGGTAAATGGCAGAGTAGGGTCTGTGCCTAGACAGTCCACTCCAGAACCTGTGAAGCGGTGAGCTCTAGTCAAGTCATGGGTCTGATGGACCTCCGTGTTCAAAGGTGTGGAATGACAAGGTGAGGGCTCTGGGCTGAGAAGATGCCAGTAGAATCCCGTGCCCTAGTTGCTGAGCTGAGCATCCCGGAGATACCATGGGACAGAAGAGAGACTCCTCTCACAGTAGGTATGTTTTCTGACCTCCAAGGCCAGGGCCACCAGGACAAGCCTCGCCTTGTGGGAACATATGGTCCTTAGAGTTTGAGGTGTCCTCATAAGTAACTCCTGTGGACAGTGAGACAGGGGCCCTAGTCCCCTGAGGCTGGGTCTCCCTGGTCATAGCAATGACCCCGAGGTCTTCCCGGGCTCCAGTAGCCACTAAGGGTCCTCTCCTCACCCTGCATCTCTCAGACTGTCATTCAAGGCCCAGCCATGACTGGCATTTTGCTTCTCCAGTGCATGTTTAGTAGGTGCAGTGAAGCCAAGTGGATTACCTGATATTTGGTTATTTTTCTTTAAAAATTTCTTATTTTAAATTTATTTTATGGGCTGGAGAGATGGCTCAGAGGTTAAGAGCATTGCCTGCTCTTCCAAAGGTCCTGAGTTCAATTCCCAGCAACCACATGGTGGCTCACAACCATCTGTAATGGGGTCTGGTGCCCTCTTCTGGCCTGCAGGCATACACACAGACAGAATATTGTATACATAATAAATAAATAAAAATAAATATTAAAAAAATTTATTTTATGCGTGTGAGTGTTACCTACATGCATCTATGTGCACCAGACAAGTGCCTAGTGCTTGTGGCGGTCAGAAGATGGGGTCAGATCCCCTAGAATTGGAGCTTTGAGTGGTTGTGAGTCACTGGGGGTGCTCAGAACTGAACCTGGGTCCTCTGCAAACATGAGGTCATCTCTCCAGCCCTTGTTGGGTTATGTGTATACCAGCTGATCTATGCCCAAGATAAGCCACACTTCCCTAGAATCCTGCCCCCAACTTTTTCAAGGATTTTAACCAAAAGAAAAGCTCTAAATGATGGTGCTGTTGATGAATATAAGCAACATTAAAAACAACGAGGCAGTACCTCAGCAAGAACATATGCCAGAGCCAAAGTGGTGGCATATAGCTTTAATCCCGCCATGGGGGAGGTAGAGGCAGGCAGATCTCCACAAGCACAAGGCCAGCCTGGTCTGCATAGCAAGAACAATAGAACATAGAGAGACCCTGTCTAAAATCAAAACCCAAAAGAATATACGACCGTGCTGCAGTGCACTGAACACGGAAGAGGTCACCCAGCGCCACACATGTCAAGGAGGATGTCTGATGTCAGCTACACCCACCAAATCAGACAGAGAACCCCATCTCCCCAACACATCTCAGACCTATGCAGTGTCACTTGATGGGATTCCGACCAATGAAATGCTTGTGGACATAAGGTCTGATCAACCCGTCAAACCTCATTAGACCATTTTACGGGAAATAGCGATGCCAACAAAGACAGCACGAGGAAAATAAAAATGAGGAGTTTGGGGGATGAATTTCGTGTATACGACAGTCGACCCGATTAATAAGGTCATTTTAATGAGGTCTGCAAAACACTTAGCCTCTCTTGTGATGGAGCCGGAACGTGATGAGCGCTGGGTAGCGGCTCAGCAGTGGCGCCTCACTAACAGGCGCGAGCTTGTGATTCCACAGGTTCTTCGGGGTTTAAAACCAAGTGTTGACTGTGGCTCGAACTCAGTATGTGTGGGACATGTTGTGAGGTATAAGGGTATAAGTGGCATGAATATGGTGTGTGCCAGTGTGGGCGTGTTTGTATGTGAACGCTGTGTGCATATGTGCTGTGTGCTGAGTGTACCAATGGGTGGTGTTCACACAGCTCACATTTGTGTTAGCACCTCTGCCTACCATGACCATTCTTCTGCTACCTTCTTTGCTAGAGCTGTGCCTGGCAAGTCTGCTTTTAACCCTCGGGTACTCAATATGGAGAGGCCCTTCTCACCCTATGTCCAAAGAAAGGGAAGACCCTTCAGTTGCAGTGGGTGGCCCTGGAAATGATTGGCCGTGAAGAGGCAAGTGTGCACTGCTGGGGCCTGGTGTGGTGGGGTTCTACGAAGGGAGGTCCTTCATAGGCCCTGTTCATCCTCATTATAATGCATAAGCCAAGCAGGATTACCTTCTTGATTTTGTCCATTACAAAAGGGCCTGACAGTCTAGTTGGTCTGTTTTAAGAGAATGGCTCCCTTAAGTAGCCTTGACCTGAAGGAAGCCTTCTTGCCTGACTGCTGTGTGTATTCATTTGCCACCATCCTAAATATTCTTTTATCCAACTTGAGCAAATCTCCCTCAAGTCCTATGGTGAGAAGTATAAACAGGCCTTCTCCTGAACAGAGCTTTCTTTGGGCATCCTGGGCTGGGCTTGCCTTCCAAGAGACATTTCCCTCCTGGCTCCCTTTTCAGGACGTATTTCTCCCTCTGATAGGGTCTCGTGAGGCTGAAGCAGGCTTTGAACTTGCCAAGTAGCTGAGAATGACCTTGAACTTTGATCCTCCTGCCTCCGAGTGCTGGAATTACAGGTGTGCACTGCCACACCTGTCTTTATTCAGTGCTGAAGATTGGGGCTAGGACATTGTTCATGCTTGCTGACGCATCTCTACTCCCATATTCTTATGGACACATTCTTAATCTATTCCTTTGTTTTCTTCTCTCTCTTTCTTTTTCTTTTTATTTTTTTATTTTTTTTTTTGAGACAGGATTTCTCTGTAACTTGGAGCCTGTCCTGGAACTAGCTTTTGTACACCAGGCTGGCCTCGAACTCACAGAGATCCGCCTGCCTCTGCCTCTCAAGTGCTGGGATTAAAGGCATGTGCCACCACCGCCCGGCCTCTTTCTTTCTTTCTTTTAGTTGCTGTTTTGTTTTTTGAGACAGGGTCTCTCTGTAACCTTGGAGCCTGTCCTGGAACTCGCTCTGTAGATCAGACTGCCCTCAAACTCACAGAGATTCACCTGCCTCTGCCTCCCGAGTACTGGGATTTAAGGTGTGCATGACCACCGCCCTGCTCTTTTATCCATTCTTTAGAAGCTCTGTACCATCCCTCACCGCAAAGTATACAGTTAGAATCAATGGTTCTCAACTTATGGGTTGTGACCCCCTTTGGGGGGGATTGCATATCAGATATACTGCATATCATATATTTACATTACAAATCATAACAGTAGCAAAATCACTGTTATGAAGTAGTAACTAAATAATCTCCTGGTTGGGGGGGGTCACTGCAGCATGAGAAACTGAACTAAAGGATCGCAGCATAAGGAAGGTTGAGAATCACTGAGGTAGACTGAAAAGCAAAGGCCATGAACCATGACTCTACAGTGTGTCTTTGCACTGTTAAGTGCCTGCCACAGTGTGTATGTGTGTGTGAGAGTGTGTGTGTGTGTGTGTGTGTGTGTGTAGTGGGACAGTTGGCACTGATGCTCTTGGAGGAGTTGGCCACACCAACATGTGACAGTTACCACCCTCAGAGTGGGGCAGCTAGTGCCAGCCCTGCCATCTGAGTGAAGAAATGGTCTGTCCTCCAGGCTGAGTCCTGGTTGCCACACCCTACACCAGGTTTTGTGCACAGAGAGGTTGCTGACCGGATCTACAGATAGACATCTATCCCGTGTTTGAACACAGCTGTCCCTGTTCCTCTCCTGTCACCATGGCAGCAGGATTTAGGGTATTTTCCTCCAAGCTGTATGAGATGATGTTTTTTTTCCTCCACTCTGTCAGAGCCCAGCAGAGCTGGGCAGACTAGATATTAGATACTGTTGTCAGCAGGGCTGCCACCCTCCCCTTCCCTTTCTCCCTTTCCATGGGTCTTAGGCATAGTCTCCCCCTTTACAGGAAACACTAGTTGGTTAGGAGTAGGGCGATTTAACTGTGTACTCTCACAATAGTGAAATGCGGTGGGAGACAGGCCCTTCCAGGACCAGCCTGTTTTTCTCCATCAGTGGTCTTGGACCTCGGGCTCACCCTCACCTGTACACCTGTACACCTGCATATCATTCTGTGGGGCACCTTCCCTGTCCTCAGCCCTCAGGATGTTTACCTAACTACGTCTCCTGACTTCCAAGCATTGTACCTCCAACCCCCAAAGCTCAACTTAGGGCAAATGGTTCTATGTGACTGTGACAGGTATGAATCCAGGGAGGGATGAACGGAGGATGGGGAGTTGCCTAGACTACCGGGTGAGTAGGAGGATGGTGGGGTGGGGTTCGGCTCTCCTTGGTGAAGTTTTAGCTTTCTTTCTTTCTTTCTTTCTTTCTTTCTTTCTTTCTTTCTTTCTTTCTTTCTTTTTCTTTCAAATTGAAGCTCATTTTGCTCAATGGTGTCCCAAACTTAGGCCACACGTTGGACTTGCGCCCCAGGCAGAATCCCAGCGATGTGATGAGGAACCGAGCCTACTCACCTCGCAGATAGGATGATGACCCTGGCTTCCAGTTCTCGGGCCTCCATCAGCAGAGCCGTCACATTCTTGGTTCCCGGGTCGAACTGCAGCACCTTCTCTGCCTGTGGTGTGAGAAGGGGCGTTAGCAGGTGGCTGGGAACGGGAACATTGTGCCTCAGTGGCAAGAGTGGGGCCAAAGCCGCTAGGAACCCCGAGGCAGCTTAGCTAGAGCTGCCGTGGCCTGTCCTTGCCACCTGCACTGTGCGCCTGCCTCCTCACTCCTCGCTGGCCTGTCCTTGCTGCCTGTCCTTTCTTCAGCCTGCTCGACGTCCTGGCCTCACGCTCTGCTCTTCTCGCTTTATGCTCGCTCCAGGTCTCTCTTTCCATCTCACTCCTGTCCTCATTTTTGCACTGAGCATGCAAGCTGAAGTGGACCGAGACTCAGAAAGAGACGTGCAGCGGACAGGAAATAGAGAAGTTTTGGAATGCAACTGGGAACAGAGATGGGGCTGACTTTTTCCAAAACCTTGGGAGATCTCAGCTCAGACCTGATTCCTCTTGCTCCTATAGGAGCAGCCCAGACTCTGAAGTGACCAGGTGGGCAGGCTCCCTCCCGGGGTTCCACTAGGAAACCCTGGCGGACCTGGAGATTCGCATGCACTTCCCAGAGCAGCGCCTCCTTGTGGCCGTGCTTGTCTTAAGGATGCAGGCCAGGGTCACGGCGGGTGGGTCATGGGCACCCACACCGCCCACCCCTGCCCTCTCCTGCCTGCTTGCTACCTGCCTCACCACCTGTCTCTCCTCACTGCTCAGGCCTGCGGCTCGGCTCGGCGCGGTGGGGCCAGATAGCACCCAGTGGCTGAGGCACCGCAGGCCGGGACTCGCTAGTCGGTGGGTGGCGTGCACGTCCATGCATATATACCTTGGGTCCGCGCTTGTTGTCATAGGACAGTTGGTCGAGGTTTTCATAGTTCCTTTTTTTACTCTGATGAATAATGTGCACAGAGAAAATATGCAGACACAGAAGAAGATTATAAACGGTTGAAAATGACGGCGCTAAAGCAATCACACCACCTCCTCGGCACGTCTGCAGACGGGCACGTACCTGGAGCTCGCAAACACCGAGACCCGGGGTGGGGCTGGGGGCTGGAGTGGAGCTGAGCGTGGAGGGGGAAAAGGGCAGGGGCCACGGAGGCTCCCTGCCGTGGAGCTAAACTCGTTGAAATCGTCACTTTCGGGAGAGAGGACAACCCTGTCCACACCACCCTTAAGGGGGACCCGCCTGCCACCCCCACCCCTGTCATGCACCTGCTGTGTGGCCCCAGCAGTACCCACCCCCACCCACATCAGTGCTGAGTGAAAGAGGAGCAGCTTGCGGGGCCCTGTCCCCATGGCCCTCCCACCCCCTCCCGCTTACTCTCCCCCCTGCTCTCTGGAGACTGGCTGTTATGCTCACACCCAGATGCCCACATTTGTGTCTGAGACTGGGTGTGACTGGCTGTGCAGGTGTATGCCTGTGTGCCTGCAGGGGTGACACGCCACTGTCACCTTCACAGAAGGTAAATCTATGACAGACTGTGATGGAAGGTCAGTGTAGTCTGAGTATATGTGCTCGGATGTGTGTGTGTGTGTGTGTGTGTGTGTGTGTGTAAGCTTGTAGTTACAAGTCAAGACAGGCGAACACACAGAGGAAGCACTTCTATGTGATCCCCTTGGGCAGTGTAGAGGCATCTGGAGATAAGTGAGGTCTGTCTTTCTAAAGGTGTGGCACACCACTAAAATATCCGAGAACCGACAGGCAGTGTGTATGTGCTTTCGAGTGTGTGAGCAGGTGGTTGGGTGTGCAGGGATGAGGCTGGTGAGCATGTGAGAATGTCGGTGGTAGTCTGTGTGGCTACGACAGACGTGGTAGAAGTATGAAGGAGCCTGCCATATGCTGATAATGGGACTCTCTCCAGAGAGGTGGAGCCCTTGGTGCCAATAACCAGCCCTCCTTCCCAGACTCAATGGACTGCCATAAAGGATTTACTCTGGAGTCTGTCTCTAGCCTCGATGCCTCCCCCAACCCCGCCCATGCCTCACTCCCTCCAGAGATCTATGGCACCTTGGATGTGGGGGACAATGGTTGGCACTAAGTATGATGAGGTCAGCTATGATTTTGCAGGCAGAACATGCTCCCACCCATCACCCTCCCCCATCTGCCTTTTGGGGCCCCTCCCCAGCCTGGGCCTCCTCCTCCTCTCTGCTACCTGAGAAGCACCACCTGATTCTTGGTGCTCTAGGTCCTGGGACTGAGGTAGGGTCAGGGGCCAAATCCTTATTAGGGTGCTGGTGGGGAAGGGCATAGGGGTCACTTTGACCCCCCCACCCCAAATCCTGGCTCTGGTCTCTGGTTGTTCACAGATTGGAGGGGCCAGGTTGAGATGGGAGTGTGTATGTGTCTTGGGATCAGTGTCTACATAGTGTCTTGAGGGATACAGAGCTCAGCTCTCAAGTGGGAGGGAGATGGAGAGGGGAGGGGCATAGAGTAAGCCTGAAAGGGAAGTATGAGGTGGGAGCAGGGTTGTAGAGAAACGGGGCTTCAATTAGGGCCACAGGCAGCCACAAGGCAGCCGCCTTTTAGAAAGATAAGGCCTCTGTAAGCATATGGATTACATCCCAGTAGATAGAGGATCCCAGTGCTCTGTGGTGGGGGAGAGGTGTTGGGGTGGATCGCGCTCTGTAGAGGGTGTTCCTGAGAGGTGGGCGGGACTTAGTACCTGGCAGAGAAGGGCTGAGTTATGAGTCTGATTGGGGTCTGAGCTGGGCTTAGGGAGGCCTGAGCTAGAGGGGGTGGGGCGGGACAGGGGTGTTTGCAGAGCTCCAGGTGGTCCAGCCCTCGCGCAGCAGGGACTGACACGAAGGAGATTTCGACTAATGGCAAAAGCGAGTGAAATGAGCCGAGGACAGGCCGGGGCGGGCGCCGCCAGACGCAGTGGTGCTGAGCATGCAGGATGGAGAGAGAGTGTTCACAAGGAGCCACAGACATGGCATGGCCCGCCTGCTCCTGCTCAACAAGGACCTCTCCAGGGTGAGGGCCTCACCTTGGACTCACGCTCCTCCAGCAATGTCTCCAGGCGCTTCTGCGCCGCCCGGCCCTCGTGGTCGTCGCTGACCAGCAGGATGATGTGGTTCCAGTTGTAGACGCGCATCATCTCAAACCAGACGCTGGACTGGTGGGAGTAGGGCGGCACCGTCCGTAGGAAGCTCAGGTGGATGCTCTGTGCAGGGGACAGGGAGGCTGAGGCTGGGCCAAGCGAAGTAGGCTTTTCCCTCCCCCATTGACGGGACCACTTTCTCCCATCTGCCCTTCCCCTGTAGCATCTACTGTGAGGGCAGAGGTTTGGCATTTTCCCAGTAGCACCCTGTCATGGATGAAGCATGTCTGGTCCTAGAGTGACTGGCACCTTCCCACCAGCGCCTCTTTAAAAAGGCTGACTGTAGACGCCTCTCCAACCTCAATGGGCCTCACATGGTACTCTTTCCCGTTTTCATAACTGTATTTTGGACTGAGGTATAGCTCAGTGGTAGAGCATTTGCCTAGTGCAAATAAGGCTTTGGGTTCTATCCAAGGCACTGGTAAGAAAATAACAACTACATCTACGAGTAAGTCTTCTTTCTCGGGGTCAAACGTTGCTGCCTTTCTTCCCCAGAACCCAGAGGCTGTGGCTTACTGGTTGCTTTGCTGCTTAAAATACTCTAGCTTCAGCCGGGCGGTAGTAACACACACCTTCAATCCCAGCACTGGGGAGGCAGAGACAGGTGGATTCTGTGAATTTGAGGCCAGCCTGTTCTACAGAGCGAGTTCCAGGGCAGGCTCCAAAGCTACAGAGAAACCCTGTCTTGAAAGAAAGAAGAAGGAGAAAGAGGAGGAGGAGGAGGAGGAGGAGGAGGGGGAGGGGAGGAGGAAGAGGAGGAGGAGGAGTAGAAGCAGAAGCAGCAGAAGAAGAAGAGGAAGAAGAAGAAGAAGAAGAAGAAGAAGAAGAAGAAGAAGAAGAAGAAGAAGAAAACAACTCCAGCTGCCAGGGACTGTCTATGTTTATCCATGCCCCTGTAACTTGGTCCTCTGAGGCTTCTAGGTTGGGTGTTGTTTGTTTGTTTGTTTGTTTTGCCAGTTCCCTCTTGGTGGCCAGGGGCAGTGTTCTGGAGTGAAAGAATGTTCACTGCCTCTGCCACCAGCTGCAGGCAGGTTACTTCACAATTGGTGCTGCCTATTGGCTCTGAGTGGTCTTGCTGGTTTGTGTGATGGGCAGAGGGCTGACTTTGAGTTGGGACAAGCAGGGACCAGAATGTGGCTGTGATGTTTGGCCCCACTGTTGACCACACACAAGCCCAGTGAGTTAGCCCATGGTCAGTCCCTAGGTTGGTCCAGCTCTATGGGTCCTCCTAGTTTTTTTTTTTATCCCTGGCTACTTTGCTTCTTCTGGTTATTTCTCTCTCTCTCTCTCTCTCTCTCTCTCTCTCTCTCTCTCTCTCTCTGTTTTTCGAGGCATGGGTTCTCTGTGTCTCTGACTGTCCTGAAACTTACTCTGTTGACCCAGCTGACCTTCAACTCACATAGATCCGCCTGCCTCTGCCTCCCCTGTGCTGGGATTAAAGGCGTGCGCCACCACCGCCCAATCATCATTCCTCTCCTTTAGATACGAGGGTGAAAGTGTTCCAGAGGAAAAATGGTCAGAAGAAAAATGGTCAGAAGGCATAGGATGAGAGCCTGCTCCTCACTGGCTTGGGAAGAGTGGCCCTTCCCTTTGGGGCTTTCCTATAAGACCCTCCTCTGACTCCCTTTCTTGTCACTGAAGGGCAGAGCCACCACATGCTTGGGCCTGAAAGGCCAGTCATCCTGCCTTAGAGCAGCCTTTTCAGGAACTATAGGCTCTGGCAGGAAGCCTCTGGGGAGTATATGGAGACCCAGAGGCAACTGCTCGGTCCACTAGCCCTCTGGCTGAGCCCAGGCACCAGCTGGTTGTCTCCAAGCTCCTGGATGCCTACAGGCTTCTTGAGTCTACAGGAAATGGGGAGCAGGCTCTGGTGCCTGCTAGGCCACTGGGTGGCTGGATTGAATTCCAGTTGACAAGTCCTTACAGAAATCACAGCAAATGAAAGATCGTATGACCCAGGACAAGTTCCCTGTGTCTCTGGGCTGTGGTTTTCTACAACTCAGCGGCTGCTCTTCAGCTTTGGGGCCAACTGATGGAGGCTATCCCAGTCTTTGGGCCACAAGATCTCTGCAGAATCCTGAGCTGAGATCCTTTAGTCCCTGAGACATGAGTCTCCTGCCACAAGGTGCCTGCCTGTCTACCCTGCTTACCTCCTCCTATGTGCACTTCCATCCGAGGCTGGGGTGCACAGCATCCCTTTTCACCCTGAGCACTTCTCCGTTCGGGCATCTGCTTCTCCTGCTTCTCTCCAACTCTTCCGTGGCTGCACCCAAAGCCTGCCTGTTCTAGGATGCTCCTGTTTACCCCGTTTTCTAGCCCAGGAAGCCCTCTTCTTCCCAAAGGGGATGTTATTGGTCTTTTTGACTGTCAGCAGGAGCCAGCCTGAGTAAGGGGTGACTGCTTGAGTATGTGTGAGTGTGCAAGGAGAGGGAGGGTGAGGATGCTAGGGTTGTATGAGAAGGTGTGTGGGACTGTGTGAGAGCGTGACAGCATGAGCACGCGGGACTGAGTGTGCACGTTAATATGTGGTGAGTATGAACACATATGAACATGTATGTGACTGACTTGTCATAGGCATGTATGTCAGTGTGCTTGAGTATTGTATAACAATACCTATGTGATTCAATGTGAGGTATGTATGTGCAGTTATGAGTGAGTGTGCCATTTAAGCTCCCTCAAGGGCAGCCTGTTATCTAAGCATCCTCACCTCACCTGTATCTAATGCCCAGAGCCAATCCACCTGGCTCAGCTACATGTGGTCCTGGAGCTATCTGGAGCTGACAATGGGGGATAAAAAATAATTGAGTTTGAGACTGGTGGTCAGACTTACCTTGTCAGAGTAGATGGACATTCGGGTCGTCAGTCCCAGAACAGGGATTCTATAGAAACCAGCTGTGTAGGAGACGGGAGTGGGGGTGAAGTGGTCGTTGGGGGTAGGCGGGTGGCTAACTAGGATTGCATAGACCTGTGAATACAAGAGGCAGAGTCAATTTTGTGGGAGTAGAATGGACATTATCCTAGGGTTTGGGACCCAGATGTAGCAAGAGCTGGAACTGCAGGCCAGGGGTCCACACATCCAAGAGACAGGAAAATGAGCCAAACCACAGTACTCTGGTGATAAACCCATTGTGCAGAGGGAGCAGCACTAAACAAGACTCTAGGGATGTAGACGACAACACCACACACACACACACACACACATGCACGCACACACGCGCGCACACACATGCACACACACACAGAGTTGGCAGATCCTTTCTCAACCAGCCCTCTCTGGCCAGGGCACCTCTTGTAAAGTCAGGTGGGCAAGTTTCTGAGCAAAGTTCTGGCATGGCCTCTACATTCTGGGATGTAAGGACTGATTCTTACTCCCTTCATCCAACATCCAGCCTGCACCCTTTAGGATACATTCTTGTTTGTAGGCATGAATGTATGTGACTATGTGGGTGTTCATGAGCACAGGCTGAAACATGTATGCACTATGTGCATCACACATTCATGTTTATATATGCCTATCATGATGGAATCAGGGTTTCTATGTGCATTGAGCATACAAAGCAGTGTGTTTATGGATATGCAAATATGTGTGAGCATGTGTAGCTGATTGTGTCATGTTGGGATGCAGTGTGTGTTAGTGCGGTGTTCATGTACACGTGTGTGAGCAGACATGTTCATGGATGTAGCATGTCCTATGAAAAGCATGTATGAACAGCCTCGGCACAGTCCCTGCTCTTCTCTTACATAAACTGGTGCATTGCAGTGACCCTCACATGGCTTCATTGGAATTCAGCAACCAGCTCAGCCAGGGGCGGACAGTTTCAACAGCCACATGTCCTCCCCTGCAGCAGGCTGAGCTTGGCTCCCACACTGTGCCTTGGTGTCTCTGGCATGCGCAGTTCTCACTCCCACCCCTGCAGAGCCTGTTTCCTCTGGCACCTGGGCCATCCACTGCAGACTCATGAAGGGGGGGGGGGAAGGGAAGAGGGGTAAGGAAAGAAACAAAGATGGCCCCAGGCCTCATCCAGTCAGTGGCCTGAAGTGCTCCTCCATTTGTGACCAGAAGATCTGGACCCACACTGACTGGATGGAACAAATCACTAATGAAAGTCACATGGCAGCACACATGGTCCTTCTGAGGACCGGTCCAGGTGGCAGGTGACCATCTGGGGGAAGTGACAGACACAGATGTTTGTTCCAGGCCTCTCCAGGTGCCAGTTAGCTTGGGGTGGTTTAGTAAGGAGACTGAGAAAGACCAGGAGAGGACGGAAAGAAATTGGGACAGCGGGGTGGATGGTGGAGGGGCAGGAGAAAAGGGAAGTAGTGGTCACCTGGCTGGAGATGAGGTCCTCACACACTGACAGGGCCATCTGTATGGCGTTGGGCTTGTGGGTGACAGAGGTGGCGTTGAGCTGTATCTTCCAAGAGCCGTGTCGCTTATTGGCCTGGTTCACGGCCTCGCGGAACATCTGCTCGTGCTTGCGCGTGCTCAGCACCGCGCCGATGTTGACGATCTTGGGGTCGCAGGCGGCGCGGGCGAAGGAGCAGGAAAAAAGCAGGGCGAATGTCAGCAGGTGCATGGTGCTCATGAGCTCCGGGCGCGGCGGGCCTGGTTCTGGGTTGCGCGAGTGCGACGACCCCGGTGTACGACCCGCGGGCCGCCCGGGCGGTCAAGCACCCGCGAGTCCTCCAGGAGCCTGGGGCGAGCGCGGCGGACGCTGTCCGAGGTGCTGAAGCGTGTTCGGCGCTGCTCGAACACCCGCGCGGTAAAGCGGAAAGGACGGCGGCGCGGGCTGAGCGACTGGTCCCGACGCTGCGGCTACTGCAGCAGCTGCGGAGTCATGAGCGGGACCAACGCGTCCTACCCCTCCCACCGCCCCCGCTTCCTGACGCCGAGTCGAGCGCGCGCCTCCTGACGCGCGCGCCTGCGTTGGCGTGAGTGCTTTGAGCGCGCGCGAGCGAGGAGCGCTCCCGCCGGTGTGTGCACGCGCGTTAGCGTGCAGCGACCCTGGGACGGTCACTCGCGTGTTCCCAGACCTGCAACAGTTGAGCTGGGAAGGCTAAAGGGGTTTCTTACAAGCGCGTTCTCCTGCACCCTTGCGTGTATTTCAACATGAAGGAATGTGTGCTGTGCATGCCTGTCTTCGCGTGCACGTGTAAGCCCTCACCCATAGTTTGTAATATTTTTGGGACTTGATTCTTCCAAGGACAGGGAAAGGCCCTATCCCTATATATCTCAGGGGGGAGGATATTGGCGCTCTCCTCCCGACAGGGCTTGGTAATGGAGAGAGTTGGGCACACCAGTAATCCAGCACACAAGAAACTGGGACAGGATTGTCCATGCTTGGCTTGAACAGGCCAGTCGGTGAGGGAGGTGGGGCAGCCACACCTTCTTGGAAGTGTGTTTTGGACTTCCCTTTGGAGGTTAAGAATAGGTGTGGCATTGGCTATCCTACTATAGAGTGGTACCTTCTAGGAGACCTGAGGGAGACCAAAATCAGAGGGAGCTGTTTGCAGCAGCAAGCTCAAGGTTAGACATCAGGCGCCTGCCTGGTGTGTCTGAGTTAGGTATTCCGTATTTCCTGCTTCTCTCTGACTTCTCTCTAACGTGTTGCCAGTGCCTTCACCCAGCTGTGAGTTCCCTGAGCTCCTCTTGTTCCTCTGGACCCGGCATTCTTAATTCTTTGTCCCCCTTCAGCCTTATAAACTACAGCCCTTCCCAAAATCAAAGAACAGCTGAAGCCCCGCCCCTGCCAGTGACATCACTATTTCCAATAGCAACCGAAGGATTTTTGCTGGCTCCACTGTAAATGCTTCCTGGGGGACAAAGCAGGTGGTCTCCACACCTAAGTGCTTAGCAGTGCAGGGGGAATCCTGGACCCTCCGGTTTGCACTCCTGGTTCCTGTCGCTAACACTGTCTTCCTGGACAGGCAGGCTTGAGACATTAGTCAAGCCGCCTATCTTGGACCCCTTTCTTCTCTCTGCTGCCTGGGGTTACTCTTCATACTCTGCTCTGGCATCGAGGAATGAACTCCAGTCTCAGGGTCCTGGCGCTCCAATAGCTTTAAGAAGGCCTAGACTTGACACCTCCTGCAGGTGAGTTGGAGCCACCTCCAGACATCTATGGCTTCTAGCAATTCAGGACCTGAATGGTGTGTAGGGGCGGGGCCTCGGCTCTTCCTCCACGACAGGGCAGGAGCCAGCAGTCCACCCCACACCCCCAGAGGAGCTGGAGACTGCTCCTACTGGTACAGTAGAGCCCACTACTGAATATTCAGAGATCAGTAAACAATTCTTCCCAGTCAGGAGTCTGAAACTGACCACAGTAGAATTATTTAATTAATTAATTTGTTTGTTTAAATTTTTTTTTTTTTAAGACAGAGTCTCTCTTTGTAACAGCTCTGACTGTCCTGGAACTTGCTTCGTAGACCACGCTGGCCTCGAGCTCACAGAGATTCGACTGCCTCTGCCTCCCTAGCACTGGGATAAAAGGCATGCAGTACTACCACCACCACCCAACCTTATCTTAATTTTTTAATACAGGGTTGCTCTGTGTGACAGCCCTAACTAGCTGCCCTGAAACTATTTCTTGTAGACCAGGTTGGCCTTGAACTCACAGAGATTCACCTGCCTCTGTCCTCGAATGCTGGGATTAAAGGCGTGTGCTACCGCTGCTCCCCGAGTTATTTATACCATGGAATATTTACCAAGTAGCGGGGCTTCCTGCCCCACTTTCTTAGAGCCCATTTGCCAACATCCAACTGCCCCTCTCAAACAATAGGTCCTCAGTCTTCTGGTATAAACTCCTTGGGAAGGTCCCAGTAATGAGGACAAGATGGAGGCCTACCCCACCCATCATCTCTTTTGACTCTGTTCCTTATTATTCTTTGGGGCCTTCTTCCATCCCCCCCATCATGGCTGCTACAGTCATAGAAGCTACCAATCTTGCTTCCCCCTGCTCTAATAACAGACAGACTAATAAACCGGCTTGGGTTGGGACCTCTCTAGGCCCCAGGGAGACAAAGGCTATGAACATGGCAAAAAATGATTAGGAGCATCCTGTGGTAGGTCCCCAGGTTGGGACTGAAGCCCAGTTCTGCCCCTAGGCCACTATGGTCTGTCCTGCTCTGCAAAGAGCACCTGGGAAGGAGGCTGTGGATGCTCATGGCTCTACCCATGCTCCTCGGTCTGCTCTGCCATGAAGGAGTTTTCTCTCTTAAACTCCTAGTTTAAGTCAGTCAGACACAGGACCCATTGACTTTAGTTCATGGACAAATACGGACTGGAGCTGGGTGGTGGTGGTGTGAGCCTTTAATTAAGCAAAGCAAAACAAACAAACTAAAACCAAATATGGATTTTTTTGTTTTGTTTTTTGCTTTTTGTTTTTGTTTTTGGCGAGGAGGGTGCTTGAGACAGGGTTTCTCTGTGTATCTCTGGCTGTCCTGGAACTCACTCTGTAGACCAGGCTAGCCTCGAACTTAGAGATCTGCCTGCCTCTGCCTCCCAAGTGATGGGAGCAAAGGTGTTTTCCACCACCACCTAGTCAAACATGGATTGTTAGTCAGCCCAGGCTGGCCCATTGATTTTCTGCCCTCATATCTCAGATCAGAGGCTGGGATAATAATGGGTTCCCCATTCTCTCTAGAGGCGAGTCACTGCAAACCAGGCTCAGGGTCAACCTATGGATGCATCTTCACCGAGTGAAGGCAGTTTGAAAGGAGGAAGCTAACAGTCCTCAAAGAGAGGAGAGGCAGGAGCCACGTGTAGATGTCTCTACCCATGCTGCCCTCTGGGCAGAGGATAAGCCTCTACTTGATGTTCAGCTTCTTCTGCTTGGACTGGGGGGTGGGGCTGGCAAATAGTAGGCCTGGCCACCAGGTAAAGTGATCTGGGGCAGCCAAGGGCCTCACAGAGAACAGCCAGTTACCAACAAGAATTACGAGCCAGCCTAAATCATCCCACACCGTTATCCACATTGCTCATTGCCTGCCTCCACCACCGCCCCTCCTCACTGTACCCGTCCTCTCTAGCATTTCATGTAGAGAGGAAAGTCTCAGAACTTGGAGTGCTTCAGGTGTCAGGCTTACGGTTATCACACATTTTGAAAGAGGCACAGAGCAAAGGATTCAGTCCTTAGGTGTCCTTTCAGGGTCTGCTACTGCAGACTTGGCGGTTGGGGCTGCCTTCTTCATGCACATGTCACATCAGCCAAACCGAAAAGAATGTCCCATGTGGTTGCTGGGAATTGAACACACCTCAGAGCCATTTCTCCAGCCCCTTTATTGATATTTATTGGGCTCTACATTTTTCTCTGCTTCCCTCCCTGCCTCTCCCCTCCCCACTTCAACCTTCTCCCAAGGTTCCCATGCTCCCAATTTACTCAGGAGATCTTGTCTTTTTCTACTTTCTACTTCCCGTGTAGATGAGAGCTATGTAAGTCTCTCTTAGTGTCCTCATTATTGTCTAAATTCTCTGGGATTGTGGCTTGTAGGCTGGCTTTCTTTGCTGTATGTTTAAAAACCACCTATGAGTGAGTACATGTGATAATCGTCTTTCTGTGTCTGGGTTATCTCACTCAAAATAATGTTTTCTAGCTCCATCCATTTCCTGCAAAATTCAAGTTGTCCTTGAATTTTCTGCCGTGTAGTATCCACTGTGTAAATGGACCACATTTTCCTTATCCATTCTTCAGTCGAGGGACATTTAGATTGTTTCCAGGTTCTGGCTATGATAAACAAAGCTGCTATGAACATAGTGAGCACACGTCCTTGTGGCACAATTGAGCATCCTTTGGATATACACCCAAAAGTGGTATTACTGAGCTTTGAGGGGGGTTGTTTCCTAATTTTCTGAGAAATCACCACACTGACATCCAAAGGGGCTGTACCAGCTTGCACTCCCACCAGCAATGCAGAAGTGTTCCCTTTTCCCCACAACCTCTCCAGCATAAGTTGTCATCAGTGTTTTTGATCTTGGCCATTCTTACAGGTGTAAGATGGAATCTCAGAGTTGTTTTGATTTGCATTTCTCTGATGACTAAGGTTGTCGAACATTTCCTTAAGTGTCTTTCAGCCATTTTAGATTCCCCTGTTGAGAGTTCTCTGTTTTGGTCTGTACCCCATTTTTTTTTATTGGATTATGTGATCTTTTGTTGTCCAATTTCTTGAGTTCTTTGTATATTTTGGAGATCAGACCTCTGTCTGATGTGGGGTTGGTGAAGATCTTTTCCCACTTTGTAGGCTGTCATTTTGTCTTGTTGACCATGTCCTTTGCTTCACAGAAGCTTTTCAGTTTCAAGAGGTCCCATTTATTAATTGTTTCTCTCAGTGTCTGTGCTGCTGGGGTTCTATTTAGGAAGTGGTTCTATTTAGGAATGTGTTCAAGTGTACTTCCCACTTTCTCTTCTATAAGGTTCAGTGTAGCTGGCTTTATGCTGAGGTCTTTGATCCATTTGGACTTGAGTTTTATGCATGGTGATAGATATGGGTCTATTTTCATTCTTCTACATGTTGATATCCAGTTATGCCAGCACCACTTGTTAAATATGCTTTCTTTTTTCCATTTGATATTTTTTGCTTCTTTACCAAAGATCAGGTGTTCGAAGATGTGTGGATAGATACCCGGGTCTAAGAATGTCCTCTTAAGGGTCGACTGGAACCGCTCTCCTCTCTGGCTAAGGCTATCAAATAAAAGATAAAGATAACAAGGCCCCACTTCTCACCAGTTTATGTGTGTATGTGCAAACCGTACATTTATATGTGGAGACGTACGTGTGTGTAGTGTATTGTGTATGTATTCATGTATGTGGGTATATGTGTGTGTATATATGTGGGTACATGTGTGTGTATGTATGTGTGCTTGTGCACGTGC